GGACCATTTCCAGTCAGGATTTGAGTATTTTACAGAGGAAAATTTGCAGCCTGTGTGTGCAGTCTGCCCCAGTGTTTGATTACCATCAGAATGCAAAAGTATTTTTGTGCTTTCAGGTTGAATTTTCTGGCTTTCAATTTGTGCCCATTATCTCTTGTCCTGTCAGTGGGCACTACTGAGAAGAGTCTGCCTCCCTCTTCTTTGTTCCCTCCCATCAGGTATTTATACCTGTTGATAAGATCACCCTGAGCCTTCTCCAGTCTGAAGAGTCCTAGCTCTCTCCTCTGCTTCTTAGGCATAACATGCTCAATTCCCTTCATTATCTTCAATTATGATATTTGTATCATGAGACTTGAGGCTGTGGTGGACAACAAGCTGGAGATCAGCCAGCCTCCTCAGCACTCAAAGTTGCAATCGGTCAAGCCCCACATATGTCTAGAGTGCCCTCTGACCTGGTTGTCCTCCACTGAGGGCAAGTTTGGTTTGCCCTTCCTTGTCTTTCCCTGTGGTTGCAGCAGTCTGGGATTCCTGAGGGCTGGTCTTACCAATCAGGGCAGGCAAGGATGGCATCGAGTACCTTAACCTTTCAGTGTGGTTTGTCACAAGTTCCCCTGCTCCCTTTGGCAGCAGGTGTATGGCTTCTGTAGCCTTCCTTTAGTGGATGGATTATGTACTTGTAAAATCCTTTCTGGTTTCCTTTCACATGCCTTGCTGTTTCAGCTGCAGGTTGGCCTGCACTTTCTTAACCCTGTCCCTCTAAGATGAGGCAGCAGCCATATACTCCTGGGACATCTCCATGCTTCCACTGTTACATTTGCTTTTTATGTCCGAGTTCGCTTAGGAGTTCTTTGTTCATCCACACAGGCTTCCTGCAACCTCTGTTTGACTTCCTACTTTTTGAGCTAGACCTTTATGGAGTTTGAAAGTGGTGATCCTTGAATATCAAACTAGCTCTCCTGGACTGCCCTTCTCTCCATGGTGTTTTCCCATGGATTCTTTCTTTCAAGCAGATTTCTGAAGAGATTGAAGTCTACTCACCTGAAAACCATAGTCATAGTCCTGCTTTTTGACCTGCTTCTGTCTGTAAGGATCCTGAACTCGTACATAACCAGAGAGCATCTATATCCACCCCTCATTTTTTCTTTTTTCTAAACAATGCCCAACTACAGGACAAGTACTATGGTTCACATACTTATTCATGGACTTCATTTTTAAAGGGGTATAAAGAATCAATTCTGTTTCATCTTACGGTTCTCATACAAAGCACTGCAAAAAAAGTCTGGTGTTACTGTTTGCCTGAAAATGGCAAATACAGGTATCTTCTATGTGGTTTGTGTCTAATCTATTATTCCAGTTCAAGAAGGACTTGCCAAAATGTATTTATCTTTTCAGGGAGGGGTACAGTTACCTCCTCCATTAGAAACTGATTAGGCCTTACAGACACATAATCACAGAAATGTAGGTAAAATATTCACTAGAGCAATCTTTTTTTTGTCATATCCATGGTGATTGCTTCCATGGGTCATTTCCCAGCCATCTGTGTTTCATGACCCACCGAAGAAGTAAGCAAAGCTCTTTCCCAGCAGGCCTAGTTCTGTTGCCCTTTCAGAACTTGCAGGGAAAATTGGTCCCACCTGGATATTAGACCTGTGCCAGACTCCAGGTGCCAAGCTTGTTGAGGAGCAAGAGACCTCATTACACACAGTTGCCTGATAGGTCTTTCTCAGCTTTGGTTCCCCTTTCTGCTGTTACAGCATCCTTCAGAATATGTTGACGTTTTCTTACGCAGGTGTGACCAGCTTCCTTTCCGTGGGCAGCTGATACACAGATAAGGCTTTGTTTTAATTCTCATATAGAACAGTGAAGCAGTTGACAACACCTGTGGAATATGTTTAGTTATTCTGTGAATAGGGAAATTTGCATGTGCATAAGTCTAAAGGTAGAAATAATGTAACTTAATTATATTCTTGAGGAAATAGTGGCCCATTTTCAGTTAGAGCATCACCAACCCTGAGCAGTTTTACAAACTACACTAGAATTCACTTAACTGGCTTGAATGAAAAGGGATGAGTGCTTACACTGGAATGGTGCTAAAGCAGTCACTAAAAATGCTGTGTTAAGTATGAATTGTATGTCACAGGTTCTTGGCACTAGGAGATGTGAATAAAGCTGTGGTTTAACTCATGATTGGTCTTCAGTGCCTGTCAGATAGCAAATTTATCTGAGTCAAAAAAATTTTAGAAAGTTACTGGATTCAAAAACATTGCATTTCAAATCAATAAAGGCAGTCTACTGAAGTTAAAAGGAAGATGTTCCTAAATTTGTCTTTTAGGCTTTCTGTGAAACTTTGGAGGAAACAAATTACCGTCTGCAAAAAGAGCTGCTTGAAAAACAAAGGGAGGTTGAATCACTGAAGAAATTGTTGAATGAAAAGCAGCTTCATATAGATGCTGTTGAAAGAAGAATTAGGTATGTAGAAGTTTTATGGGGTTTAAGGGGTTTCTTTGCGTGAAGGCATTTTCTTGATGTAGTCACAAGCACCAGCTTTAAATGTATTCTTAAAAACAATTTTTAAATATCCACCCACAAAGCAGTATTTTCAGTAGACTTTCTCATACACTGGCTAAAAAGCTGCTGTTTAGTACAAATGACTGAAAAACTGTTGTCCCATCTTTTCCATCTAAAGTAACTGGGATTATGTTTCCTAATCCTTTAAATCCTGCGAAGGTAAAGCAAAGATTCTATTCCACTTTGGAAATGCTGGATATGTGAAGGGGCCTGCTAGGGATGAGAGCAGTGGAAAAACTGCTTTGAATTACAAGTTCTGCCTGTTCTTTGTCAAAACACAGTGATCAAGTGACTATATGTCTGTATTAATGTCTTCAACTTTGTCCTGAATTGCCTGGAATGGTGCTGCAGACAGCGCCTCACAGGCACTGGAGGTTGTCCATTTAAATAGAAGGAAAAAAAATATTGAGGTTTTTTAATAAAATTTTACGGTGCCTGTCTCCTAAATTTTGTAGCATGCCCAGGGGAGTTGATGGTTGCTGTGTTCAATGTCTTGCTAGACCTGCTGAATCAGCTATTGTGGACTTTCCCTAGCAAAGGGTTAAATTCCCGTGATCCTTTTAAAAGTCATTTTAATTCTGCTTGGGTTATTGACTCCAGAATGCCCAGGCTGACTAACAAATCACACCTTTGGACATGAGGTTTAAGTGAACTACACTTAGAAAGGATTTAAGTGGACCTAGTGTGGCTTATTGAAAATTCTGACCTAAGTACCACGTTCAGTTTGTCATATTTGGGTGCCTAAAATGTATGAGAGGTAGGAGGGGACAGCTGAACAAGGTGTCAGCTGTGTAGGCCTTTACATGTGCTGGATTGGGCCCAAACATAGGCCAATAATCATGTGAGAGAACACTGCTGAGGGATTACTTAATGTGTGCATTAAAACTATGGAGGTGGTAGTAATTTTAAAAGGGGATGAAATACAGAGGTATCATTTTCAACACAGTTGTTTGCAAACTTTTCTTTCTCATTCAAGTGGCAAATTTCAACGCTTAAGTTGATATGTGTTTTCCACACAGAGCAATACTTGAGAAACAAGGGATTTGTAGTTTTGCCTGGCCATGTCCCAGTTGTAGTCAGGCTAGTCAGACTGCCAACTTGTGTTGCTGTTCAGAAAAAATTATTACCTGTCTTTTTATCATTAATGGGAAAAAGTATTGCTCTGAAACTTGGTGTGTGGCTCTGAAGTTACAATGAGCAGCTGGGAAATTTTGTTGAAGAAATTTTTTTTTTTTTTTTATCATCCTTCATCTGCCTGGCATCCTTCAGACTATGTTTTGGCAAAATGTATTGCTTAGATCATCTGCTTATATTTTCTTACCTAAAATCACAAGCACTCCTCTGGCATTGAATTTTGTAAAGCTACAAAATTGTGATGCAAACAGATTGAATTTAGTTTAGGAATAAGCAGCTGGAGCAAATAAACTGTTTAAACTGCTTTACAGTGCAAGCCCTACATCTCTGTAGTGATAAAAGAAATGGAGCATGCATGGATTGAGATTGATAGGTTCCCAGAAAGTGTTAAGTTTAAAATGAAACAGACAGCTCTTCAGTGACAAATGTTTGCTGTATGGATTGGTGGTACTCTGTTCTTATTTGTTGTAGGGATTTATCTTTAGGAAAAATGACTCGTCAGATGTCAGGAGAAGAAAGTGAGTGCAGTGGTGAGGTGGAGTCTTCTTCAGTAGAAGCAGACCAGGGTACCCTGGGTGAGGACAGCTGGTAAATACTATTTTATTTATAATATAATTTAGTTATTCTTAAAAGTATGTTTTTCAATGATTGGTCTTGCTGAATTCCTCAGTTATACAGAATTTATGCATTTTATTGCACCTCTCTGCTGCATCGGGAAGCCCTCAAGATAGATAATTGCAGATTGGGATAAGTGATAAGTCAAGCAAGTTTTCTAAATCTTTTGTGGGTCGCAAGCATAAAATTACTATGAGGAGTTGTACTGGTTTCTGTGTGATAAAACTGATTGATCTGTTGTTGCAGCTCAGATAAAGAGACCCATGAGGCATGCTGGAGTGGCTCTTTGGCTGAAAATTCTGTCCCAGAGATTGAAGTTGCTGAGGTGGCGTATTCTGCTGCTGAAGAGGGGTAGGTCAGCTGTGGCTGCTGCCACCAGGAGAAGGTTCGTGTCCGGTACACGCGCTGTGGGTGAGGGCACGGAGCGGCTTCGAG